ATAGCCTGATTACTTATCTGACGCGAATAGCTTCTAAACCTAAAAATAATCCGCATTGCGGTCTAATACCGGTAGGCAGACAACTGAACCAGACACTGAACCAGGGACAACTGAACCAGTAAAACTGAACCAGGACAACTGAACCAGTGACAACTGAGACCAGTGACACTGAACCAGCGACAACTGAACCATGACTGAACCAGCGACAACTGAACCAGTGACAAGTGAGCCAGTGACAACTGAACCAGGGACAACTGAACCAGGACAACTGAACCAGTGGCAACTGAACCATGGACACTGAACCAGTAGACAACTGAACCAGTAGACAACTGACCAGTGACACTGAACCAGTGACAACTGAACCTGACAACTGAACCAGTGACAACTTAACCAGTATACAACTGAACCAGTGACAACTGAACCAGTGACAACTGAACCAGTGACAACTGAACCAGTGACAACTGAACCAGTGACAACTGAACCAGTGGACAACTGAACCAGTGACAACTGAAACAGTGACAACTGAACCAGTGACAACTGAACCAGTGATAACTGAACCAGTATGGCAACTGAACCAGTGGACGACTGAACCAGTGGACAACTAATGTCGTACTGCGCTGTATAGGTATAAGCAAGGCAGCGCGTGGCTGGACGGACGGTCTGTGCCAATCTGCCGGTCTGCCAATTGATCTGTGTCCGATCTATTAGAGTGTCCGTCCGAGAGCCATACGACGGCTGACAGGGCTGACAGAGCCTGGTGATCGCGAACTGGTATGGTAACTGTTACGCCCACCTGGGACGCCCGAATAGTTAGCAACGTATAAATAATATTCACTTTGATGGCCTCACTCGGGACAGACAGGGCACGCAACGTGGGCTTGGCAGAGTTCAGCCCGCCTGCGCCCAGAGGAATCTCCGGCATATAAATGGATTCGCTGTTCGGGCTTACATCGGGCTTACGCCAAACGTCGCACAACTAGGGCTAAACAACGGCTGTCCTGAGCTCGCCGAGAGGGCATATACCTACGGCAGAGCATGGGCTTTAGTCGGCGTTTTTGTGTTATACGCCGACTTTAGTCTTTAGCCCAAGCGCTTGCCGACTCCAAGCGCTAGCCGACTTTAGCCCGATTAACCCGCGCCGGGCTCCGAGAGATTCCGCGCCGGGCCGCGGGGGGGGGGGTGTCTGAACACCCCCCCCCCCCCTTCTAACTCGGCTCCTGGGCCACGTAGCGACACGCGGTAAGCGGCAATCGAAAGAACGTCAAAAATAAGGACGAAAACACTTCGGTCATTTTTTGGGTCAGGTCAAAGGTCAGGTCACCAGAGGTCACCAGAGGTAAAATGTTGACTATTTCAACATTTTGGAAATTGCCAACGGCTATCTCCGGAACCGATAGAGCTACAGCGCCGCAAAAAAGCGCATTCGATAGCCCTTTTACAGACCTTTCTGAGTAATGTTCTCAGATTTGACCTCAGGTCAACGGTTTAGCCTCCATAGGGCAAAAACTCCAAAAATAGCCCTTTTTACGAAAAGCAGTTTTTTAGGCAATAACTTTTGACTCAAAAGAGCTATGACATTACTTTTGCCAGCATCGTGTTCCTCTCGTCGAGACGCGTCGGATGAACTATAATTTGACCTTGAAAGATCAACTTGAAAATTTGACCTCAGGTCAAGGTCATGACCTGACCGGAAAAGGTCATGCTGCATATCAGTCGATCCGCAACGTCGAGCCGAACACATCTAAGGCGTTTTCAGCGCTCTAGCACGCCTCTATCAGAAGCTATCATCGAAAAACTGTCAGATTCTGTTCGTGACCTGAGATGACCTCGGGGACATAACAAGGGGTCACAGTTGCCATTTTCTGGTTCAGTGTGTCTATTTTACCTACATCTCGATGTTTGAGAGTGTCTAGAATAGCGTTCGTGCAAAACAGACGCTTTTCAATTTTCTCCCATTGACTTATAATGGAGAGGCCGCAAAATTGACCTGACCTTAGGTCACCGATATCAAAATTCCGAGATATACATTTTATAGATAGTGTTGCTCTAATCAATCGCTGAAAGCTTTAAGGCAATCGTTCCGTCGGTGTAGCTATGACGAGCATTCTTATTTTTCTGAGGTGAGGTCACTTGGCGTGACCTGGTGACCTGACCTAAGGTGACCTGGGTCTGAAATTTTCACAACATGTGCGGAAAAGATGCACCGGAGCGCCGCCCGTTTTTGAGATATCTGTGAAAAACCGCAAGGTTGGTGTTCAAACACCCCGGCCCGGCGCGGGTTAAAAGTCTCTGGCAAGCCGCTTTTCAGCCTGCTTAGGCCCGGAGTAAAATTGCTTGCTGGGCTACTGGTTAGTGGTTCAGTTGTCACTGGTTCAGTTGCCACTGGTTCAGTTGTCACTGGTTCAGTTCACAGTTGTCCACTGGTTCAGTTGTCCACTGGTTCAGTTGTCCACTGGTTCAGTTGTCCACTGGTTCAGTTGTCCACTGGTTCAGTTGTCCACTGGTTCAATTGTCACTTGTTCAGTTGTCACTGGTTCAGTTGTCATACTGGTTCAGTTGTCACTGGTTCAGTTGTCACTGGTTCAGTTGTCACTGGTTCAGTTGTCACTGGTTCAGTTGTCTACTGGTTCAGTTGTCCACTGGTTCAGTTGTCCACTGGTTCAGTTGTCACTGGTTCAGTTGTCCCTGGTTCAGTTGTCACTGGTTCAGTTGTCACTGGTTCAGTTGTCCCTGGTTCAGTTGTTACTGGTTCAGTTGTCCCTGGTTCAGCTGTCACTGGTTCAGTTGTCCCTGGTTCAGTTGTCACTGGTTCAGTTGTCCTGGTTCAGTTGTCACTGGTTCAGTTGTCATGGAACCCTAATACCCATTTCAAAAATCAAAAAGTTTCCAGTCCCGATACTTACCGAACGCTAGGTGGCAGGTCGATCGCCCGGATAGGAGTTTCCTATCCATCTTTCATCCATGATCCATGACTCTAGGCTGCCGTATCGACTGAAGCGATTCCTTTTTCGGCCTCCGCCTACTTAATTTTATTGATTTTCATTAAAACAGTCTCACTTCTCCCAATCCACTTCTCACTTCTAAATACTCATTATGAAATAGCACAAAGGAAGAGAAACGAGAGAAACTACTGTACAATTATATGGCTGCAATATGGCAGCACTACACAACGACGCAGTAGTGTCACGTGACCAGCTTCCGATCCTCAACACATTCGTCGGCGTCTGTCACGTGACTCCACCGAGGTGATATAAGCCCGCGACACCGGCGACGCGGCCTCTTTTCCAAAACGTGGGAGAGGGGGAAGGTCATGCCGGAGCCTAGCGAAGTTATTCCAACAAACGGCGTCACGAACGGGGTGGCGCGGTTCCAGGGCATGGAATCGGACGGCCTGGAGCCCGAAGAGACGTTCCTGTTCACATCGGAGTCGGTCGGAGAGGGACATGCTGGTGAGTAAATTGGGGTGGCGTTGGTGCGCCGCAAATGTCGCGGCGTGGGTTTGCTGTTACCTTACCTTACCTTACCTTCGTGGTGATCGGGATTGAAAAGGCCACTTGGCCTGGGGATCCCGCTCTCATCGAGCTCGTGTCGGGATACAGGCTAGGCTCTCAGGGATAGGGGGTGTCGTACATGATGCCACCCCAGTGCTTGTCCAGCTGGGCCTTGAACTGGTTGACGGACTGTGCCGTGACCACCGCACTTGGTAGGGAGTTCCAGTCGTTGATGACCCTGAAGCTGAACGCGTTTCTGCGCACGAGTTTGGTGGCCCTCGGTTTCTCGAGCTTCCACTCGTGGCCCCTGGTTCGTTTTTGATAAATTCGATCAAATCAATGATTGAAATGTTGAAGGTAATTAACATTGAAATTAAGATGTTTGATTTTTGATGAATGATATGAGTGTCATGCTGGTTGATGGTTATTGTGATTTGTGATTTAGCTGGGTGAATGCCTTGTGGGGACCCTGCCCTGGACCAGCAAAGTGTGAAAGTGGAGTGCGGTAGCGGCTGGCACTGACTGTAAATATCTTAGGGGTGCTTTGATACTTGGTTTCAGCATGAATAACTCATGAAATCAGGACATCAAACTATATAATATGGTATGATTTTCACAATCTGTTGAGCATTCCGACCTTTTATATAAAAGTACAACCATTTGTCAGAGTAGACTTATGCGATTGTGTGCATGTGTGTCGTTATGGTTGATCATGGACAGATGCTACAGCGGTTGAATCTGTCCTTTCATGCCTGCATTCACTCGTGTTTATGGCCTATATTGATCAGCAGTAATTCCCAATGACTGTGAATTGCTTCTGGTGACTGGCAATTGGATACTGTTAAAGGAAAAGGGCCACCTTCGTGAAATATGAAGATATCGTTTTTCATTTTGACATTATTTTTCATTTTCTTTTTAAAACTGGTGCCAGAAGTGCACAATTCGCGAAAAAGTATTTAAAACTATTTCAATTTAACATATTGGTACTATGTTGATACTCTCTACGGCACCTACTGTATGATGGCATAGCGATGACGTCACACTCAAGCCAATCAGCGTTCAGAAGACAGACTCGTCGGATTGTGTCAGATAAGCTGATTGGTTAAAGCTGAGCTGGTTGGAGCTGATTGGTAAAAAACCAAAGCCTCGCCGCGGGTGGCTGTATTGTCTGATAAGAACGCGTTGCTGGGATAAGGACGCATTCCTGGCGTATTTTCTTTTAAAATTGCCGATAACTACGAATGGAGGCCGAAATCGGCCGAAAGGAGGTAGACAGGTAGGTTTTCGGGCACGGGCTACAAGATGGCTATCTCAGTTTCAATCCCCATGTTAAAGGTGGCCCTTTTCCTTTAAAGATAAACTGTAAGCTGGGTGAAATTCCCTTTTGCACCCTAGGCTCAAAATTGAGTAAAGACAGACCACACCATATTGTCAAAAACCATATATCAACCTGAAAAATTATTTATATAATCTTAACAGGTATCAAAAGTACAAGCAGAAATAACCAAACCTTAGCTAACCTGACCTAACCTTACATAATGTAAAATGACCTTACCTGACGAAATGTGCGGGGTGGAATGACTAAATGTGTGCAATGTAAATGCAGCAACTGACCTGAAACATGGTTTTTAGTTTTAGATAGCCTACCCCTGAAATAAACCCTAAACCCCTGAAATAAGTTATCCAATCACCTAAATGGGTAAGGGGGCAGGGGACCATTTTCATAAGGTTATGAAATGAACTACGTAAAACAAGGAGAGCTAAGCAGATACGTACTCTTTTTTTTTTTTATAAAAATTAGTAGTGGAAAATGGCTATGGAAAATTAGAGGTTAGAGTGGAAAAGTACATTTGCTTGTACCTATGCCATTCCCCATCCAGATAAATAAATTTTGGGACACTGGGCAAATCAGCCACCAATTCGGGATTTAAGAACCCATCCATGAACATGATTAAAAGCACCAATTTTGCTTGGGAGATGGTTTGGGAAGGATGGGATAAGTTTTGGGAGATACTCCCCTGCTCAAACTTTCCTGTACGTTTGGGATTTCCCTGTGTTCCAGTACGTTCATTTGTCTCAACGTTCAGGTACGTTCGGGATCTCACATCGTTCTGGTACGTCCCGGTAAGTTGTGGATACGTTCAGGATGTCCCAATGTCTCAAGTGGCGGCCTCTCATAGCTGAACCGCACACACACCATGAATTTTACCGATTGGCAGTCAAGAAATGACAAACTACAGTAGGCGGCAGCATGCTTTTTTTTTTACAAAAGGCGGCGACCTGACAGCGACTTCGAATTTGCTAGATGGCGGTATGTGGTCATGGGACGATTTGGAATTTCCGGCTCAGCTTATTCTGATTGATCGGGAAATAGTTCCGGAAATCGTTCGGGGTATTCTAAGTCTTGACCCTGTATTAGTACGCTGATATGATCATTGTCCATGCTTATTATTATCATGAATGGTTAGGTTCAGCAATGGCTCGGGTGCTGACTTAGTTTGTGTACCTTTCAAGCTGCTTAGTGCTTACTGCAGTGGTTTGCAAATTTCGCACTTATTTGTTCTTAATTCTGTTTTCCTTTGCTTTCCCGGTTACTCCGGCTTCCCCGTTGATGACTTATGTTGAATGCTGCCCCAAACTATTGAAATTAAAACCAAAATATCAACATCACCACCTGTCCCAAGTCCGGCCTCATCGGCCCTTGTAGCCGCCGATGCGACGTCTCTACCCTAGGTGTCATTCGACCTGCCAAGAGGCGTAGTAGTCGCCTGCAATGGCGCCCCGAATATCGTGGCTAATTTTATCTACTCCCCTGACAAAGAGTGGCCGGGTCCCCTGCTGCGTGACGGCTCGGCCGCAGCGCCTGCAGGGAAGGTGGGAGATGGGAAAGTAAAGAGGATATAGCATTTCTGCAGTGATTGGATTGTATTGCGGGCTATCTGGCCATTTTGTGAGTCGTTTGCTCTGTTTTGGGCATTCGGGACCACGCGCATTTATGAGTTCTCGCGTCTTTCTTGCGTATTGTATTGTATTTGTATTTAGAGCGATCCACATACAAAGTGCGTGACGATTACTGCTCAGAGCGTAACATTAGATGATACTCAATCCCAAGGTTTTTTTTTCCTTGCAAGTTTTTAGTCGGTACATATTCATTCGCGATAGCCTCTATAGAGTCTCAGCTTCGTTGATTCAGAGGCCAGTTTTACCAACAGAAAAATAGCAGCCCGGCGCAATTTTTCTGTCAAAAACCAGCCGACGAGTTTCACCAACCAGGCGAAAAAATATCCGCCGGCGTGAAAAAATATCAGCCAGAAAAATAGCCAATGAGTTTCACCAACGGCAAATGCGGCATTAATGGAGTGTTATTTTGCGCCATTATTTGTAGAAAAACAGCCCAAAAAATAGACGGGGGACCCCGTCTATTTTTTGATGTGGTGTTGGAACAATTGGCCTCATTTGTTACTAATTATCGTGATTTGCGCTTCCCAGTTGATATAATAATTTAGTATCATTCATGGCCAATTTGTAAAGCATCTGGGCTTCAAGATTAGAAGAGGAATACTGATGATATTGCGTAAAGAAAGAGCCTTTGTCACCAGGCAGGACCAAAAGGAACCAACAAGACTGGTGTTTGGTGTTGTGGTGTTAGTTTTTTTCGTTTATATTATCTTTTTGCTTCAAGCACCCAACAGCAAGATGATAGCACATTATTAACTAGTGGTCAGCTTACAAGTTCATTGCTCATGCGAGTCGCACGGAAGTGGAAAATAAAATAATGATGGAAGATCATTTTCGAAAATTGAAGGTGCTTGAACAAATGCTGGAAGGAGAGGCAGAGAGGGTAGGCTCATTGGACTCAAGATTTTAAATAAATATGTCACTGTTTTCACATATTCAGCTACATTTGACAATGCAAGGGGTCAACTACTGATACCACTACTACTTTTGGGTGGAACTTACTAGTTACTTGAGCTGTGCGGGATAGGGAAGGTGCAATTGACATGGCTAAGACCCAAATGGCAAGATTTTCAAGATCAATGACAGTAAATTTAAAAAAAGAAATTGAATAGCATGAAAGAAATGTATAAAGGCTTGTTTTTGAAGCCAAACGTGCAAAGTTTGCATGGTTGCGAACCCGAACAAACTTGCTGCCATAAGATTGTGCCACTGAGCTCAGCAAGTCATGCTGCCAATATTGAAGGAAAAGAAAATAATAGTAATGTTGTAAAATGTAAATGAATCCATAACTGTTGTGTGTGCACTGTGCTGACTGCTGATATTGAATGCATGTGTATCTTGCATGCATGAGTCATGCAGGGATCATGTTAAAACTGGCTGTAAGTATTGTGAGTAAGTTTTGCAAAATTGTGGAGGCACCAGGCAAATTGCGGCCGAAATGTTATTTGTTCACCTCAGCGCTGAAATTTCTGCTCACAGAGTTTTCAGATCATGCGCCGAAATGTTCATGCAGCCCATCTATTACACTGGTCATGTTGACAATGACAAGGATTTTTTCCCAGTCTCATGTTGAAATACAATAATAATTCACTTAGCACGATTTTAGCTTATGTTTTTCATGCCAGTTCCTAGAATAAAGCAGCCAATATTTTCTGTCATGTGAGAAATATAATAACAATATGCACAATTGCAGGCTGTGGCATGTTGTGAGGTTTTTCCTTGTTTATTGCTGAGGTTTTTCCAGTCTCTGCTGCAAAAACGGTGATGAATCCACCATCGTCCGACGGTTTCGATGACGCCAATCATCGGCGAGTGTTGCTGTGATGGCCGACCTGACTGAGCGCACAGCGGCAGCCGCCGTCGCCAATAACGACAGTGAGGACACCTCCGAGTCGGACGGAGACGCCGCCGCTGACGACTTCACCGTGCTGGACGAGGTGGAGCGCTCGAGCCGACAGACCGTGCACCGCGTGCGCTGCCCGACTGGCTGGCGCACCTGC